AAACTTACAAAATCAGCAGGGGATCAAATAAATATTTTCCCCACTGTATCTATATATATATATATATATATATATATATTAAAGCAAAAGATACAAATAACTTTCCTAAAACAGACATAATTTATATATTAATATATATGAATATTTTTTAGGATGCGATTAGTATCTTTTGCTTTAGTGTGCCAGTAGGAAATATCAATTTCAATTTTCCAAACATTTAAATTTTCCAAACAATCCAAGCAAACAAACAAAAACAACAAATTATCATTTCACAGATGCAGCCATTTAAAGGTGCATGTATGAAAATCCAACTATCCACTAAATTCCAAAAACATGACATTGTATCTTCAATATACAAAATTAAGATTGCATCTACAATAATTAGAAAGAGAGAAAATGATCAGTAACTTAATTGTACTTCAATGCTAACTAGGGTTATTAACAGAATAGCACTGTTTTTTTTGGCAACAAAGCAAAACAAAGGTCAATTTTATATTGTATATTACAATGCAAAATTATACGTGTGTGTGTGTATACCATAAAATAGATAATAAAATTATACATATACATACATAAATATTACATATACATATATATATTAGGGCTGCCCCCTAAAAATCCACAGGAAGTGGTGAGGTCACGCAGTCCGTGACGGACAGATCGTTAATAGTACATCCAAACGCTCACCTATCATTCATCGACCTCAAATATGGCTTATCATGTGTGAAAAATGTGCGCTGTTCAAATGTCTGTGTGGAGTGTGAAAGCTAAACAGTAGCGCTCACTGCATGACAGATGGAGGCGCCGGTGCGCTCGCTCACTTGCTCTTAAAATACTCTGTCATTTTGGTCATACAGATAAGAGTAATACATCTTTCGAATCTGTAAAGCCTCTATGTTTATTTGTGTGCACTCACAATAACAACAAAACATTGCGCTTTTGTAAAATAATGAAAGCAAACAGGATGCGCTTTCTGCCGTCTCGGCCTCTGTGAACTTGAGCGTGAAACTCCGTGTATACTTGCCTTACAGACATGAAAAATATATCTATAGGGAGTAAAATGTCTACTTTCAAATGAAACAATTCAAATCAGGAAAAAAAAAAAAAAAAATTCTCAGATTATGTAATCCATATGAAACTTGCATGCAGGCGCATCCACTGCTGTGGAGAGGACGAGTCAGTGCCGCTGAATTAATCTCTTCAGCCGAAAAAACTAGGTTATTAAAATGTTAATGCAGTTTAATCCCTGACACGTTCATCATCATTACTTCTGCCGGTGCGCTGTGGCAAGCTTTATGCGTGCGCTTGAGCGCTTATTAGGCTGTGTAGGCAATTAAAGGCTCATTAGCATAATTTAAATGGTTTATTAATAAACGTGCGATTAGTCGACTAATGCCTAAAATGAACCAGAAAAATCTTTAGTCGAGGTCAGCCCTAATATTTTCTGTTTTCATTGTAATTTTAAAGTTTTAGTAATTTTGTTGTATGTTTTTGTCTTTTTTCTTTAGTTTTTTTTGTCTTAAATAATTATGAATATTTTGAATAGTTTTTAGATTTGTTTTCATTTTTAATTTGAGTAATTTTGTTGTGTTTTTGTCATTTTTAGTAGTTTTTTAATGTCTATGAAGTTTTTAGTAGCTTTAGTTTTAGTTTAGTTTGTTTTATTTCAGTTTTAGTCAAGTTCAAGTTAATTAAAATGAACAATGCTGCCATTGCAACTAGCTGAAATCAAATGTTTTTTTTAATATATATTACTTCAGTTACCTTTTAAAGGGGTCATATGATGCTTTTTTAAAGGTCATTATTTGGTGTATTTGGTGTAACAGAATATGTTGACATGCTTTAATGTTCAAAAAACACATTATTTTTCAAATACTGTACATTATTGTAGGTCCTCTATGCCCCGCCTCTCTCAAACGCTTCGTTTTCTA